GACGAGGAGGACGAGGAGGACGAGGACGAGAAGGACGACGAGGAGGAGGACGAGGACGAGGAGGACGAGGACGACGAAGAGGGAAGAGGGGGAGGAGGAGGAAGAGGGCGAGGAGGAGGACGAGACGAGGGCGAGGCGGGTGGAGGGGGGTGGAGGACGAGGGGGAGGAGCGCGACGACAAGGGAGCGAATCAGAGCGAGAGGGACTCGCGGGCGGCCAAGCTTTACCCCCATCCTCGAGCGTCTCGCCCAGCTGCCCCCGGCCGCCGCTGCCACGTGTCCGCGCCCCGCAACATGCAGTGCCACATTTTGTAAGCTTCACACCTGGAGCTGCATGACGCCGCGCCCTCGCCCCCACGCCGGCACCTTGCGAGGGCGGCTGCAACTTTGTGCCGCGACTGTACCATATTCCGAGACACAGCAGCAGCGCCATCGTCCGGACGGGGCGGGGGGGTCCCGTGCACAAGAAGCACGGTGGAGGGAGAGAAGGTGGCGGCACGAGGGGTCTGCTCGTGGGTCCAGAATCTCGACAGGTTGGGGGATTAACGCCCTAGTCGGGGCCAACTGTAGGGCCTGTTCACACTACCTTCAGTCGGGACCGCCGTGCAGGTAGGTAGGTGGGAAGCCCAGACTCAGCTTGCGCGGGACGGGCTCGTACCTGACTTCTCTCTCGCACACTCCGGCCGGGTGAGCCGGGCGAGGGTCGGTGCCGCTCAAGCTAAGTCGGGGCGGCCCGGCTACCTGCATAGGCCGCCCCGACTGCAGGTACTCTGTACCGGCACGTTAGATAGCCCCGACTCGGCCGTTAATCCCCCAACCTGTCGAGATTCTGGACCCACGGGTCCCTATGCTGGGAGACTCTCGTGCCGCCACCTTCTCTCTCTCCACCGTGACAAGAAGACACGCCACCCCGTCACCCTCCTCCGTCTCGAGCAAGGGGGAGAAACCCGCCGTGCCTGTTGTCCGCGCGGGGACGGCCGCGGCCAGTCTCCTCGCGGCCAGGACCGGGAGGGCCGAGGCCAGGTAACAACAAAGGCGCTGGGAATATCTGGTCCAACGCGCAGGGTCAGAGCGAAGGGCCAGCTCGGTGCAGCACGGCAGTGGCGTAGCAGCTAGCTGGGGTGGACAAGAGAGGTTGAGACCCCTCCCTCCCCTCCCTCTCTCTCTCCCAAGGGCCCTACTGGCTCTGGCTACGCCTCCGACACCGCGCCTGTGAATCGCGCGCCGCCCGCCTCGTCCTTCGCGAGGAGCGTTGAACTTGGCATTAGTAGCCACCCGCACCGGCCGGCGCGGGGCGCGGCGGCCTGGCGTGGCACAAATGGGCTTGCCATTAGGGATCACGAGGGGGGCGAGGACGAGGGGGCAGGGGGGGGGGCTTGATTCGGGCAGAGTTTTGGGCTGCTGCTGATGCTGCTAGCACTGTAAAGAGTACGAAGAATTGTCTTCGTAAGCCTACAGAGTAAACGGCAGCTTCGTAATTACAAAGCATGCATTGCAATTACGATGAAATAAAAACAGCGCTCTGTTGTAGTCTACGAAAGAATGCCCCCTTTGTGTTAATTTGTAATGCGAGGTTACTGATTCTTACACTTTTCACAATTCTGCTGGATCTGAGCGGGCAACTACTGAGGGTCAATTCCAGCAGCATACGAAGGCTGCCTATGACTACAAGGCATTCTTTGCAGCAAACCTTTTCAAATAAATTCCCGGGTAAAAATTATGTCTGTTAATTCAAGCAGTTTGCTGGAAATCCAAATCATTTTTCCTTGAATTTCAAGCAATATTATTGAATTACAAGACATCATTTTTACCGTGAGTGCTATCCCCGTCCTGCGGATAGGTGCCGTACACTGCACCCAGCCCAGTATCCAGCACCCTAGCCGCGTCCCGCCCTGGTCCCGCAGGGGATCATCCTCTTCACCTCCCTGCTCATCAAGCCCGCTAGCCTGTTCTTCAACCACCCACGTGTCCCCGTCCCCGATGATCCGCGGGCAGACCATCATCAGTCAAAACCATTCGCCCGTCGGGCTACGTGGGCAACCGAGAGAGTGAGAAGAATCTAAATGTATTACGGCCTGCCGATTGTCACAGTATAACTAACAAGAAACCTTGGAAACGCCATGCTCTGGTATGTTCTTTCCCCTTACTGAGCTATATGGCAGAGTGTACACACACTTATCTATACCGCAGTTTCGGCAGTTTTTCTCGTACTTAAACTGGCGTACTCCAATTTTTACACAAGTCGAATTCGTGAGGGGCGGTCCCCCAGAGCAGCGGGTCCCAAATGACTCGGTGGGCCCCATTTGGGGTCCTAAGTGGCGCGCTGGGCCCCCGCGGGTACTACCACTGGGTACCAAGCGCGGCTACCAGGCGGCCACCATTACATTAACGGATGAGAAACACGGGGAGTTGATTTTGTCCGCGCGTTGAATTCGTTGTGATGACGGAAGCACGTTTTCGTTTTTGGCGCGCGGGGGTGCTCTGCTGCACCAGACACCCAAGTGTTAGAACGTCGCACACTTGTAGGTGTGTCATGGACGCCATTAGCACACACAGGGGAAACAAGTGTATGAATTTTCCTACATGTGTGACATTTACACACTTTGCGGCTGGATTATAATGCTAATCGCACACAGGCACTGCTGCCGCTGCTGCTGCTGTATGTGTGTAGTGTGTGTGTGAGAGAGAGTGTGTCGTGTGGGAGACAGGGGCGGAGAGATGCCTTGAGCCACAGTGACTCACCTGGCAGTGGCTGCCCGCAGGGCGCGGTACGGTACAGCCTGGGACCGCGGGTCCCGCCGCCGCCGACTGGAGCTGAAAACACACAAAAAGCAAAGCGGGCCAGTTAGTATAGGGAAAGAAAGCAGGAGACGACATGGGACGAGTTCTTGTTCACACTAAACCATTATGCATTTTGTTGTGCATAAACTTGCAGGATTTCATGCAGCCATAAGTATGCACCAATGTTTATGCATAATAGTGTACAAAATGTGCATACTAATTATGCACACACTGTACATAGTTATGCATAAAATTGTGCATACTGTGCATGAAATCCTGCAAGTCTTATGCACAACAAAGTGCATAAGGATTTAGTGTGTTAATCCTCCTGGTTTCCTATCGACTTGCGCAAGGGCAAACGTGTCGTCGCGTTTATTTCCAATTTTCTCCCGTGCTAGTTGATTTTTATTTATCGCGCAAATGCGAGCGCAAATGACAAACTCTGTTCTGTTTAGTTGTGTAACCAACGAACTCTTCCGTTGTAATCACAGCGTTGGCGTGCGTCGCACTCGCACCACTCGCATTACACTGCGTGATCCGTTTTTGTTTCCTTTTCGCTACCCCCCTGCTTTTCGTTCAGAAAAAAAAAATGAAAATGATTAGTGTAAGCCTTTTGCTTTTGTGTGTGCCTGTGCTGATGGGTGTGGCGTGCAGGGCAGAGTGGGTGGGTGTGGGGGGCGGCGGGGTGAGGCCGTCACCACAGCAACGGGGCACAACAAACCTGCCGTGGGTAACCTCAGCATCGATTCTACCCCTGTGTGGGTACATGTACACTGGCAAAAACTCACAGGTCTCAGTATCCAACTGAAATAAACGTCTTATGTGTAGCCGTGTCGTGGGGGCACGGGCACACAACTGCATATCATACAGTACACCCAGAAAAACGCACCTTTCAATTTACGTCAAGTGCTTCCGTTCCAAAAGAAATTTTGACATTGATGGTGTACAGCTTAATACAGTTAGTGGAAGGGAATTCCATTGAATAAACGGAATTTCGCTATACGCCAAATGTCAACTTACGTTCGGATCAACGGAAGCACTTATTTGTGACGTGTATGCATGGGTGTATACGCGTTTCTTTTTCTAAGCGAAGTGAAATAACTGGTGACAAAACAAAATATGTCAATATATTGGGCGAAGCGGGCCACGTCACCCGGGGCGGGAGCGGCGCCGGGCGGGACCGGACAGGACGCCGCCGGACACACGCGGCACATTTTTTGACAGGGTCGTCGGGGCTGAATCGTAATCCATCCCTCCCCCTGCTTTGTATTCAAAACGTCGTTAGAGTTGGCCCGCCTCTGGCCCGCCCCGCCAGCGCGCGGCGCCCTTCTACGAGTAGCAAGGGTACCTCACCAGGTAGCTATACAGTACTCCAGCAGATGCCCAACCCAACTTCTGACGCAAAATTAAAGCCCGACGTGTAGGTATAGTTCCAGTCTCTTTTTAAACCTGTCGAGCACTGCACCTGATAAAGGATACGATTTTTTAAGATCATCTTTGAGTGCGGACAACTCAAAAATGGTTAGCGCGAAAACCAAAAAGTCTTCTTCACACTAAATCCTTATGCATTCTGTTGTGCATAAGACTTGCAGGATTTCATACAGCCATAGCTATGCACAGTTTTTAGCCCGCCCTTCTGCTTTTAAAAAAGCAT